GCAGCCTCGAACTCCTGAGCTCAGCCTCCCGAGTAGCTGGGGGTACAGGCCCATGTCATAACACCTAGCTAATTTTTTTGTAGATATGGGGTCTCACTATGTTGCCCAGGCTGGTCTCTAACTCCTGGCCTCAAGCGATCCTCCCGCCTTGGCCTCCCAAAGTGCTGGGATTACAGGCGTGAGCCACCGAGGCTGGCCGAGAATTCTGGACTCCCGGGGAAAGCGTGGTTTAAGATGGAGGCCCAAGGGCCAGAGAAAAAGCAGAAGAGCACTGTGAAGCAGGCACTGGATTTCGCAAGGAGTGGGTCAGTCAGAGGTGAGCTCAGTGACAGCAGAGTCAGCGCAGAGGTGAGGCTGGGGTGTGAGGGTGGAGGAGGAGCCCAAAGGTGGGGGGCCAAGAGGGGAAAGAGAAGAGAGGAGGGAGAGTGAGCAAATGTAGATGACTCTTTCAAGGGAAGAAGCCATCTGGAAGGACACGGGGTCAGGGGGATGTTTGATGGGGAACTTCTGGCCGTGTGGGAGTGAAAACAGCAGCGTACACACTGCGGGGACCCTCCCTTGCAGCGAGCCACGGCCAGCCTGTCTGTGGCAGCAAAGAGCACGCGCGAAAGGCTGGGTGCACCTGCCACCGTCACAGCAGAGAAGCGGTCAACAGCAGATGCAGGCAGTTAGGTGGGCACCGCTGGGCTGCTCACCAGCTGAGCAAGCTTGAGGCAAGGGACCGAACCTGTCTGTGTCTCAGTTTTTCACCCGTAAAATGGGGTTGTTGATAATTATTACAACTCATTCTCGTTCTTACATAGTGTTATATATTTATAATATAGGTTATATATAATGTATATAATTATATAATCTATATAAAATATATATAATGCTCTGTCACTTCCACTACTTGGTTCCGGCTCTGCCTTCTTCCAACTCTGAATAACTATATATTATATATATAATATACAATTATATGTATTTATGCTATATATAAGTATATTTTATATGTATTTAATATTTATATATAATTATATTGTATATTTATAATATACAATCATATATTACATATATATTATACATATGTACTATATTATATTTATATTACAATATATATTATAATATATAATAAATTATATTACATATTTATAATATATTTGTACATTATAAACAAATATATACTTTATTTGTTAAAGTATATATTTATATCTAATTTATACATATACATAAATTAGATATAAATATATAATATATTTAATTTATATATTATATAATCTATATTATATAATATATTTTATATTTTTATGTATTTACATTTATAATATATATTTATGTTTTATAAATATAAAACTATATATATTTTTATAAATATAAAACTATATATTTATAATATATAAAGATTATATATAAAATATAAATTAAATATATTGTAAAGATTATATGTTATGCAGATTATGATATATAAATTAATGCAATATTACATATTACATAATACATATTATGTATAAAGATTATATAGATATATGGATTAGCATATAATTAATCTTTATATATTCTAAATATAAAAATTTTATAATCTATATCTTTATATGTAGAATATATATTAATCTTTACAGAATATATAAATATTATATATAAACTATAAATTAAATATATAAAGATTATACCTTAAATATATTGTATAAATATAATCTTTGTGTATTATTGTATGTTATTAAATATAACATATAAACACAATATTTATATATAGAATATATATAATTATTATCCCTATTTTGCAGATTTATATATAGACATATATAAAAATCTATAAATCTCTATATGTGTATATTTACCCTTTTAGGTTCTCACAGCAAACCTACGAGGTAGGTGTTGTGAGGATTAAGTGAGTTAATATCTATAAAGTGGCCAGGTGTGCTGGTTCATGCCTGTAATCTCAGCACTTTGGGAGGCCAAGGCAGGAAGATCCTTTGAGCTCGGGAGTTCAAGACCAGCCTGGGGAACTTAGTGAGAACTTGTCTCTACTAAAAATAAAAATAACAACAACAACAAAAATCTAAAGTGCTTGGCGCATAGTCCACATTAGATCTGCGGGCAGCGATTCTCCTTTTTCTTCTGCATGAACAAGGGAAATGGGAAACCCATGGAAGATTCTTTAGGCTATTGAAATCCTGCAAATCGGCCAGGCATGGTGGCTCCCACCTGTAATCCCGGCACTTCAGGAAACCTAAGGCCAAGGTGGGAGGATCACTTGAGGTCGGGAGTTTGAGACCAGCCTGGGCAACATAGCAAGACCCTGTCTCTACAAAAAATAAACATGAATAAATCAATCCTGCAAATGTCTCCAGAAGGTCTGAAATGTCAGAGGATTCCAACATGCCAGGCTGCAGTGTCAGCTCCATGAAAAGAGAGATACTGTAGTGAACAGCGTCTGCAAAGCCAAGACCATGGCCTGGTCCACAGCAGGCCCTCTGTAAATATTTGTTAGATGGATAAACGCAAGGATTAACGAAGCATTGGGGCCTCTGAGGCCTTCTACTCCATCCCCGTCTGAAGGATCAGTTTTTTATTTTTTATTTTTATTTTTATTTTTGAAATGAAATCTCACTCTGTCACCCAGGCTGGAGTACAAGAGTGCGATCTCTGCTCACCACAACCTCCACCCCCCATGTTCAAGGGATTCTCCTGTTTCAGCCTCCCAAGTAGCTGGGATTACAGGCACCTGCCACCACGCCTGGGTAATTTTTTTGTATTTTTAGTAGAGATGGGGTTTCACCATGTTGGCCAGGCTGGTCTGGTACTCCTGACCTCAGGTCATCCACCTGTCTCGGCCTCCCAAAGTGTTGGGTGGCGTGAGCCACTGCACAGGCCAGTGTCAGTTTTTTCTGACATCTCAACTAAGTGGCCATCCACCCTCTGCTTGCATACCTCTCATAGCGGGGAGGTCACTACCCTCCCTACCTGCCCTGCCAAGGGAGCACATTCTCCTTCTGGGTGGTTCCAGTGGATTCCCTGTCGGTTCCACTCCTTGGTCCCAGCTCTGCCGTCTTCCAACTCTGAAGGCAGCGAGCCTCTCCGAACTGTCTCCTGGCCATGGAGGGAGGAGCTCCAGGAAGCACGTCTGTCACCTCTCACCTGGATGACTGCAACTGTCCCCTAACTAGTCTCCCTGCGTCCACCTAGTCTCAACTTAGCACCCAGGGGATTCCTGTAAAAAAGTTACATCTGGCCAGGCGCGGTGGCTCAAGCCTGTAATCCCAGCACTTTGGGAGGCCGAGATGGGTGGATCACGAAGTCAGGAGATCGAGACCATCCTGGCTAACACGGTGAAACCCCGTCTGTACTAAAAAATACAAAAAACTAGCCAGGCGAGGTGGTGGGCGCCTGTAGTCCCAGCTACTCGGGAGGCTGAGGCAGGAGAATGGCATAAACCCGGGAGGCGAAGCTTGCAGTGAGCTGAGATCCGGCCACTGCACTCCAGCCTGGGCGACAGAGCGAGACTCCGTCTCAAAAAAAAAAAAAAGTTACATCTGGTCAGACACCGTGGCTCATGCCTGTAATCCCAGCACTTCAGGAGGCCAAGGTGGGAGCGTTGCTTGAACCCAAAAGTTCAAGAGTTCAAGACCAGCCTCAGCAACATAGCAAGGCAAGTCCGTTTTTTTTTTTTTTTTTTTTTTTTTGAGACAGAGTCTCGCTCTGTCACCCAGGCTGGAGTGCAGTGGCACGATCTCAGCTCACTGCAACCTCCGCCTCCCAAGTTCAAGCGATTCTCCTGCCTTAGCCACCTGAGTAGCTGGGATTACAGGTGTGTGTCACCACATCCGGCTAATTTTTGTATTTTTAGTAGAGACCGGGTTTTGCCATATTAGCCAGGCTGGTCTCGAACTCCTGATCTCAGATGATTCGCCTGCCTTGGCCTCCCAAAGTGTTGGGATTACAGGCATAAGCCACCACACCCAGCTGCTGACTCTATTCTAAAAGAAAAAATTTTTTGGCCAGGCACGGTGGCTCACACCTGTAATCCCAGCACTTTGGGAGGCTGAGGTGGGGGGATCACAAGGTCAGGAGTTCGAGACCAGCCTGACCAACATGTTGAAAACCCGTCTCTACGAAAAATACAAAAATTAGCTGGGCATGGTGGTGCGTGCCTGTAATCCCAGCTACTTGGGAGGCTGAGGCAGGAGAATCACTTGAACTTGGGAGGCAGAGGTTGCAGTGAGCCGAGATCGCACCACTGCACTCCAGCCTGGGAAACAGACTGAGACTCTGTGTCAAAAAAAAAAAAAAAAAAAAAAAAAAAAATTGTTTTTAAAGTTACATCTGGCCAAGCGCGGTGGCTTACGCCTGTAATACCAGCACTTTGGGAGGCCAAGGTGGGCGGATCACGAGGTCAGGAGATCGATACCATCTTGGCTAACACGGTGAAACCCCGTCTCTACTAAAAATACAAAGGAAATTAGCCGGGTGTGGTGGCGGGCGCCTGTAGTCCCAGCTACTCAGAAGGCTGAGGCAGGAGAATGGTGTGAACCCAGGAGGCGGAGCTTGCAGTGAGCCAAGATCGCATCACTGCCCTCCAACCTGGGCAACAGAGCGAGACCCTGTCTCAAGAAAACAAAAAAAAGTTACATCTGATCTTCTTTTATTTATTTTTCTCTTTTTCACTATTGAGATGAGGTCTATGATCCCGCCTTGGCCTCCCAAAGTGCTGGAATTACCGATGTAAGCCACCATGCCTGGCCTCTTTTTTGTTGTTATTTGAGACAGAGTCTCACTCTGTTGTGCTGTCACAGCTCACTGCAGCCTCGAACTCCTGAGCTCAAGCAATCCTCGCGCCTCAGCCTCCTGAGTAGCTGGGACTATAGGCGCTTGCCACCACTGATCTCGTCCCACCTCCACTCAAAGCCCTCCAGCTGCTTCCAGCTCAGAGTAAATGCCCAGGCCCTCTGCAAAGCCACCTCCCACTGCCAACGGGCTTTCTCTCCATCCCACTGTGAGACACACTGACCATCACATCAACAAACCGGCAGACGGTTTTTGCTTTTATTGGTCAAGAATTCTTTACAAAACCCACACACACACGTCCACACACACACGATGCCTGCCCTGCTGCGGTCACTCTGGCCCTGGTGTCTCCTGGGATCAGGCCCTCCTGGCCTCCCCCAGGGGAAACCATCCTGCAGCCCCTCTAGGTTAGCAGTGAAGGATCCCAGAGAGGGAACCTCCTTTTCTGCTTCTCTGCTCAGGAACAGAGGTCTGTGCCCCACCTGTGGGGGAGCAGGTGCAGGTGACAGAGAAATAGTATCCTCGTTTTCCCACTACTGAACCCCCAGAGTTGCCAGCCTGGGCCCCCAATGTCACAGCTGCCAAGGCCTGGGGTCATCTGCTGATTGAACCTTCCCCATCCCCATTTTGCACATTGAAACATAGAGGTCCAAAGATGGGGGACGAGTCACCCAAGATCATGGTGCTGAAGCACAGTGGCAGAGCAGGGATGGGGACTCCGCTCCTCTTGGCCTCCAGGAGGTGGGAAGTGTGAAACCTGGACCCGGCTCGACCCCTCCCCCCTCAGGGAAGGGCAGAGCCAGGGCCTGGGGCATGAAGAGAGTGCCCAGAGATGATCCCTGGAACCCGTGCCCAGGGAAAGTGGCCCCCAGGGCAGCTGAGTGAGCAGCAGGGTCTGGCCAGGACTATAAAGGTTTGCCAAGGGTGCCCTCTGTGACTGCCCGCGTGGCTTGCTCAGGGATGCGGCCCGGGTCAGTCAGGATACTGGTAGATGTGCCCAGCTGGCGTAGGGAGTTCAGGACAGCTGGGTGGGAGACAGAGAGAGAGAGAGACACCTCCTGGGGTCAGGGCCCTACCCTTGGATGCTGGAACCAAAGGGATAGGGGGAGGTACTAGTTGGCAAGACTGTCACCCGCTCCTAGAACCTCTGTCTACAGGCATCTGGTGGCCAGAGAACCATCTGGGGGATGGGGGGTGGCCACAACCCTAGGCTGTGTTGAAGGCAAGCTGGATGTGGGGTCTAAGCAGGGCGGAACACTCCCTCCACCCCGGAGGCTGGAACCCTCTAGCAGGCAGGGAGATGGTGCACATACTTGGCCGGAGAGCGGGCAGAGAGCAGTACTGGTCCAGCCAGGCCAGTGAGGTCTGGCGGAGGGTGTGCACGCTTGCCGTGGACACCATCCCGTTGAAGGACTCGAACAGAGGCCGGATGAGGATGCTGAACTGGGCCCAGGTCAAGGAGCTGCCTGTGGTCCAGTTGGTACCCCCACCCCACGTGGATCCCTGATGCCCAGTTCAAACCAGGGGAAGAAAGGGCCTGGACAGTGTCTAACCTTGAACCCCAACGACTCCTGCTGCAGCTGCTACTTTTTTTTTTGACAGAGTCTCACTCTGCCACCCAGGCTGGAGTGTAGTGGCGCAATCTCGGCTCACTGCAACCTCCACCTCCCAGGTTCAAGCTGTTCTCCTGCCTCAGCCTCCAGAGTAGCTGGGATTACAGGCACATGCCACCATGCCCGGCTAATGTTTGTATTTTTAGTTGACACGGGGTTTTGCCATGTTGGCCAGGCTGGTCTTGAACTCCTGGCCTCAAGTGATCCACCTGCCTCAGCCTCCCAAAGTACTGGGATGACAGGTGTGAGCCACTGCTTCTGGCTTGCAGTCCCTACTTCTGTACTGCCAAGACCTTCCCAGCACCCTGCCTCTCAGTCCCCTCCTCCTTGCCCCTCCACCACCCTTACTCTGGGCTGAACCATCCCTCATCCCTGAACTTCCTCCCTGGGCTCAGTCAAGAACTTGATCCCTGGGCCAGATGAGGGAGTGGATTCCAAGTCTTCTTTAGGCGTCACTCCAGAGTTCAGGTTCTCCCAAACTGCCCTTGGGGCTTCCTGAGGTCAGGGCCAAGGCTCCCCTTCCTCAAAGACTCCTCCCTCCAGTTTCCCTCTCTGCTCCCAGCCACCCATCCCTGGGCAATTCTGCTGACCAAGATGGCCAGGACATGGAAGCAAGGGGCATAACAAGAGCCTGTCACCTGGGAGCAGCTCTGAGCCTGCCTGGCCTGGAGAGATAGGCCTCCCATCTCAGGCACAGCCTGGTCTCACCCTGCCACAGCCCCTGCAGCCCCCCAGCCACGGGCTCGAGGGAGGATACCACCCAGAATTTCCAGTTGTGCAGCGTACGGGTTCGGACGTAGTCATCAAACATGTCTCGCATCTGGTCAAAACGCTGGTGTGTGATGGGTACCCCTGTGGCGGGCAGCTGCTGCTGGCACAGGCTGAGGGCAGGGCAGGGGTCAGGAGCTGGGGGTCAGGCGGCATGGTCCCGGGTCCCAGCACCCGCCTGGACCCTGCCTACTTAATGGCGGCATTGAGCTCCTCAATCTCGTCCCGCAGCTGCTGGGCCTCCTCCTGCAAGCCCGCGCGCTCCTGCTGTAGCATAAGGATGTACTCGGCTGTCTTCTGCAGTGTGGTAGCTTTGCTGACCTGCAGACACCATCGGGGGGCTCAGGCAGGTGCTAGAGGCTGCACCCTGGAACCCACTGGGGCACTGGGAGGGGAGGAGGCAAGAGTGTCTGGAGCACTCCCCTGCAATTGAGTTTTGGGTGGGGGTGTCCAGAAAGGGGCCCCGTGGTTCTGGGGATGCCAGCCTGGGTCCGGGGCTCACCTTGAGGCTGGGCTGGGCACTGAGTGTGCTCACAAGCCCATGAAGGGTGTCAAACCCCAGCTTGATGTTAAAGCGTCTCTTCTGTTCCGCGGAGATGTGTGTGATGCGCCGGTTCTCGGTCTCGGGGAGCAGAGAGTCGGGTGAGCCTAGGAAGGAGCCCGGGAGGGTCTGGGGGTAGCAAACCGATCTTGGGGTGGGGGGATGGTGCCCACCTTGTTGCTGTCTGGACGGCCCCGGCTGAGGATGGGTTGCGGAGGAGAGACGCGGACGCTCAGAGTCCCAGGGCCTGGCATGGAGCTGAGGTCCCCTGACAGCCGCCGCTCACTGCCTGTGGTAGGAACAGACAGACCCACAGAAAGACTGACCCCGGGGAAAGAGTCCCCATTACCCCCTTCCTCTCATCCTGGCACCAGACCCAGTCCCCTTCTTCTTCCTCCTCTTCCCCTCCTCCCTTAGATTCCCCCAATCCCCGCAACCCCTCTCTTTACCGCTGAGCGCTGGGGGTGAGAGCCGCTCCGCTTTGGGGACAAGCAGGGGTCTGGAAGGGGCCAATGTGGCCGGGCCTGGAGGTGGCCGGGGCGGTGTAGGGGCCGGGGTCGGGGGAAGGAATGTGCAGGAGAATTCAGGGACTGTCTCCTGCTGGGGTGGAGAAAGGCGGAGAGTTGGGGTGAAGGCCGTGGGCACAACCCCACCGCCCAGTGCCTGAGATCTTACCGGGGACCCTGGGGACCGGAGGAGGGTGCTGGATACAAGTGGTGGCTCCAGGGCTTGCTCCGGCTTGGCTGTGCACAGGCAGAACCATGAGGCCGCTGGGGCTGGTCCACCCCCGGCATCTTTCAAGACCCCATCCTGCCCCTCCCAAGTCCACACCCCTTTTAGGTACAGGGCCCATGTCCCTCATTCCTCACCACTCTGTCCCTTGAACTGGACCTGCCCCTTCACCGTCATCTTCTGCTCCCATAACCCCGTCCTCCCCACCTCCTGGCTTCCCTCCCCAGGCTTTCCTCTCCCTGTTGCTGGCCCTCCCGTCTCACCTGCTGTCAGCAGCTGTGTGAGGCAGGGGTTGTTGCTCCCCACAGTGGTGGGGGGACTGGCAGTGGCAGGGGCTAAGGTAGGGGGACTGGCTTTCTGTCCCCTAGGGGATGGGGCGGGGGGCTTGCCTCTGGGCACGGAGAAGCAAGGCCCAAAGGCAGGCTCTGAATACCCCGAGGGTAGAAGCTCTATGGGGAAGGGGGTGGGGGCTGGGCTGGGGACAGACTGCGGGGTGGGTGGGAAGGCTGCAGGAGCAGGCAGCGGAGACACTCCTGGGGCAGGAGGGACAGTGGGGAAGGGAAACCTGGGAGAGAAGAGAGGCTCTTCCTGCAGCAAAGCAGTGGGTGGCGCCATGGGAGGGAAGGGAGGTGGGGGGCAGGGCTCCAAGCCTGGCACCTTGGCAGGGGGAGGGTAATGCAGCAGAGGTGGGGGTACAGAAGGGGGTGGGAGCCGGGGCTTGGGGTCTTCAGGAAGGAGGAAATCAGAGCTCAGGAAGGCGCTGGAGTCCAAGGGACCAGGGCAGCTGTTCCGAGCCTGGTTGGGGGGACAGACAGACACTCAGACAGCAGGGAAAATAGCTGCCCCTGGCAGCCATCTGGGCTTCCCCTGCCCTGCCGTGCCCTGGCTGAGTGCTGGACTGCGCCCTGGGGAGAGATAGGAGAAATGAGCCCTGCCTTCCAGCACACACAGGTGTACGTACAAACACAGGGAAGCAGGGAAATTATAATGAGAGGAGGGAGTAGCGTACATCTATGCAAAAAGCAGGAAGAGTGGAGCATCAATCTTCCTGCCCATCCATTTGTCTCCCAAGTAACTTATCCATCCATCCACTAACTTGTCCACCAATCCATCCACCAACCAACCCACCCATCCGTTCATCATCCATCCATCCACTGTCCACCAATCCATCCACCAACCAACCCACCCATCCCTTCATCATCCATCCATCCATCCACTAACTTGTCCACCAATCCATCCACTAACCAACCCACCCATCCAATCATCATCCATTCATCCATCCACTAACTTGTCCACCAATCCATCCACTAACCAACCACCCATTGTCCACCAATCCATCCACTAACCAACCCACCCATCCAATCATCATCTATCCATCCATCCACTAACTTGCCCACCGATCCATCCACTAACCAACCCACCCATCTATTCAATTGTCCATCTACTAATTCATCCATCTTCCATCCATTCACCTATTTATTTATCAGTCTATGAAGTAGCTCATCTACCATTCCCTCCACCAGCCCACCAGATATTAAGGCATTAATGAATTCATCCAACCATCTATACTTCCTTCATTCATCCACCAACCTATCCATAATCCATCCATCCATCCATTCATTTATCCATCCATCCACCATCTATATACATTTACCAGTCACTTAACCACCCATCAGCCCATTCACTGACCCATTAAACTACTCATCTATGTATCCATCCACCAGCCCATCCATCCAACCAACCACTCACCCACCCATATATCCACCAACCCATGTGTGCCTCCACTGCTGTATAAGATGCCTCTGTCCATTCACCAAAACACCCATTCTTCTGCTCACTGGCTCATTCATTCAGTCACTGACTCACTCATTGGACAACCATTCACTGAATGCTGTTATGTGCCTGAGGCGCATTAGGTATAGAGAATGCAGTGGTGAGCAAAACATAGCCCTTCTAGTAAGGAGCTCACTTTCTGGTGGAGGAGAGACACTCCTCAACAACCAACTAGAATTAGCACCCAAAAAGTCTGATGATGGAGGGAAAAGGCCTATAACAAAACAGCAGGAAGCAACATCTGAATTGCACCTGGGGACTGGGCGCAGTGACTCACACCTGTAATCCCAGCACTTTGGGAGGCCAAGGTGGGCAGACTCCTGAGGTCAGGAGTTCGAGACCAACCTGGCCAACATGGTGAAACCCCATCTCTACTAAAAACACAAAAATAACCTGGAAATCTCTCTTTTTTTTTTTTTTTTTTTTGAGAAGGAGTCTCGCTCTGTTGCCCAGGCTGGAGTGCAGTGGCACAATCTCGGCTCACTGCAAGCTCCACCTCCCAGGTTCACGCCATTCTCCTGCCTCAGCTGGGACTACAGGCACCCGCCAGCATGCCCAGCTAATTTTTTTTTTTTTTTTTGTATTTTTAGTAGAGACGTGGTTTCACCATGTTAGCCAGGATGGTCTCAATCTCCTGACCTTGTGATCCACCCGCCTTGGCCTCCCAAAGTGCTGGGATTACAGGCGTGAACCACCGCACCTGGCCTGGAAATCTCTTGAACACAGGAGGTGGAGGTTGCAGTGAGCCGAGATTGTGCCACTGCACTCAAGCCTAGGCGACAGAGTGAGACTCCATCTCAAAAAAAAAAAAAAAAAAAAAGAATTGCACTCAGGAATTCATGAACCAAAATGGTAGATTCACAGTTTCCTAAACATCCATGCTCAGCTTTCTGCCTCGAAGCTTTTGTTCCTGCTGCTCTCCCATCTGGCTTGACCTCAGCCAGTCCCTTCTGTCCAAAGCTGACCTATTCTCTGAGGCCCAGGAACTCCCCTTCTCCAGGAAGACTTCCACAAGCAACTGGCCCTTGGTGGAGCCCACTCCAGGGTCTCCACGCCCTTAGCTTTCTCCCATGACTGTTTTGTCCAGTTCTGCTTCATGGGGTCCCTCCCAGAGGGCAGAGATGGGGTCTTTCTTCCCCTCCAATCTCCAAGCAGCAAGCCGGACACTCAGGGAGTGTCTGATACCTCCTGGACATGAACAGGGCAGGACCAGCTCTCAAGTGAGCTACATAGGGTTGGACGGGGTGGGGTGAGCTCACCTGCAGACGGCTGTGTCCAGAGAGGTGGGTCATGGCCGAGGAAGCCGGGGGCACCTCCAGGCCCAGGGTCCCACTGCTGAAGAGGGAGTCAACCACGGGGCTGAAGTTGGGGGGCTCTGGGAAGTTTGAAGGCATGGGTGGCTGTGGGGGGCGGGAGTTGGTAAAGAAATCTGTAATTCAGACACACAGGGCAACAGCAATTAGGGCTGGAGCTATGGCTGGGTAACAGCCGGGAGGAGAGTAGCCTGTCCCCAGCCTTGGTGGGTAGGGATGTGGGGGCTGGCGGGTGGGTGGTGGGGGGTCCCTTCCACAGGAGATTGTGAAACTGGGAGGGTTTCTGTCTCGATCAGGGGAAGCAGCAACCGTCTTGGGTGGAATGAGCCTGGGTGGGAGACAGCAGGGGACTGTGGGTGTGAACGGGGACCCCAGGAAGCAGCCCCCTCCCCTCCCCAGCCCCAGGCTTAGCTCAGGAAGTCCCCCTCCCCACCCCCTGGTGACTCCCCTTCCCTGATCTGCTGGGGGTACAGAAAGGGGGTGCCCAGAGAGAGTGCCCGGGTCGGAAAGGGGTGTGGTGCGAGGGGAGGAGGCCTGGGATGGGAGGGGCCCCAGGGTGGCAGAAGTTCAAGAGGGTGAGTTGGAGATGAGAGGGAACACGAAGTCATTGGTTCTGGGACGAGCTTGGTTTGTGGGAAGGTCAGCAGGTGGAGCCTAGGAGTTGGGTGAAGAGTGAAATGCGGCAGGAGGGGCTAAGGCTGGGCTCTGAGTGGGGTGGGGGGAGAGGAGCCTAAGATTGGGCTCCGAGTGGGGTGAGGGGGAGAGGGGACTAAGGGTGGGCGCCGAGGGGGGGGGGGGGGGGAGAGGGGCCTAAGGGTGGGCTCTAAGTGAGGTGTGGGCAAGAGGGAGATAAGGGTGGGCTCTAAGTGGGGTGTGGGCAAGAGGGGGATAAGGGTGGGATCTGAGTGGTGTAGGGATGAAGGGGGGCCTAAGGCTGGGCTGCGAGTGGGGTGGGGGCCAGGGTGGCCTAAGGGTGGGCTCCAAGTGGGGTTGGCGCGAGGGGTCTGGGAAGCCTGCGAGAGCTGGAGGAGAGAGCAGCGGATTGTTTGGGGTGCGGGTTGTGTAAGTCCTGGGCTATTCTGGTTTTGGGAAGCAGCTGGCCACGGCCTGACCACATCCCGGGCCTGGACGCCGCCCGCCCACCCGCTCCCTTCCGGGCACCTTTCTCTGACCCTGACCAGCCTGTGATCTGTGCCAGCTCCCGAGGCTTCCTAGTCTGGGCAGATCTGACCCCACTGGGACAGCTCCCCACAGGCCTGGGTGGGCCCCAGCTCCCCGCTTTTTCCCTCCAACCCCCTGCCAGGAGAGCTGCTCAAGTCTGCCTCCCAGGAGCCACCTCCAAGGAGACCAGGAGTCAGTTAGATAATGTCACCCCAAACCCAGAACCCACTTGGGGGGTCAAGTGTGTGTGTGTGTGTGTGTGTGTGTGTGTGTGTGTGTGTGTGTTTTTGTGTCTTCACCCCCAACCCCATCCCCCAGAGACAGGGTCATGCTATGTTGCCAGGGCTGGTCTCAAACTCCTGGCCTCAAGCCATCCTCCTGTCTCAGCCTCCTAAAGTGCTGGGATTATAATGAGCCTGTGTGGGAGATGGCAGGGGACTGTGGGTGTGAACAGGGACCCCAGGAAGCAGCCCTTCCCCACGCAGCACCAGGCTTAGCTCAGGAACCCCCCTCCCCACCCCCGGCGGCTCCCATTCCCCGATCCGCTGGTATAGAAAGGAGGTGCTCAGAGAGTGCCAGGGTGGGAAAGGGGTGCAGGGCGAGGGGAGGAGGTCAGCCACTGTGCCCTGCTGTCACCCAGGCTGGAGTGCAGCAGCGCGATCTCAGCTCACTGCAACCTCCGCCTCCCGGGTTCAAACGATTCTCATGCCTCGCCTTCCTGAGTAGCTGGGATTACAGGCATGCACCACCACGCCCAGCTAATTTTTGTATTTTTCAGCAAAAACGGGGTTTTGCCATGTTGCCCAGACTAGTCTCAAACTCCTGAGCTCAAGCGATCCTCCAGCCTTGGCCTCCTAAAGTGCTGGGATGACAGGAGTGAGTCACCGCGCCCGGCCCTGTGTGTCATAAGTGGCTCTGCTTTGCAGGAGGGTGTAGGGCCTGTATGTTGCAGTGGCTGAACCCTCAAGTCTCAGCATGGGGTCTGCATGCAGCCTGTCTGCCCCCTGGGTGTCTGTCGCTCCGTCTGAGGCCATGTGAACCTGTCTTGCCGTGATAGCATGCTGCATGTGCGTCTGCTCGGTGCCTGTCCGCGCGTCTAACCCCATGGTGAAACGGTGTCTTCGTGCTGTCCTGCTGCCTTTCTTTCTCTCTCTCTGTTTCTTTCTCTCTCTCTCTCTCTTTCTTTCATTCTTTTTTTTTTTTTTTCTTTTTGATATGGAGTCTCACTCTGTAGCCCAGGCTGGGGTGCAGTGGCGCGATCTCGGCTCACTGCAACCTCTGCCTCCTGGTTTCAAACGATTCTCCTTGCCTCGGCCTCCTGAGTAGCTGGGATTATAGGTGCCCCTGCTGCCTTTCTTTAAAAGGGGGACCACGCTGAGTGTGGTGGCTCACACCTGTAATCCCAGCACTTTGGGAGGCTGAGGTGGACAGATCACCTGAGGTCAGGAGTTCGAGACCAACCTGGCCAATGTGGTGAAACTCTGTTTTTACTAAAAAAAAAAAAAAAAAAAAAAAATACAAAAATGAGTCGGGTGTGGTGGTGGGCGCCTATAGTCCCAGCTACTCTGGAGGCTGAGACAGGAGAATTGCTTGAACCCGGGAAGTGGAGGTTGCAGTGAGCCAAGATCATGCCACTGCACTTCAGCCTGGGTGACAGACCAAGACTCTGTCTCAAAAAAAAGGGGGACCAGGTGGGAGATGGCGAGTGGTCACTGCTGCTCCCCCATCTCCCAGGTCCACAGATCCTGTCACTAGGCCCCCGAGGCCCTGGCTCTAGAATCAGCCTCACGCTTTGCCTGGCCCCGGGCCGCTGAGGGCCTAGGGCTCCTCCCTGCTCACAGCTGCAGCCCACTCCCTGGGGCCCGGGCAGGCGTCATGGCGCAGCAAGCCCCTCTCATCCCTGAGTCACCAGCCACCCCCTTACCATCGATGCCCAGGCCTGTCTCAAGAATCCACCCTGCCTTGAGAGAAGATTCTTCCCAGCCCAAGCTGCTCCCCAGGGCCCAAGTCCCTCCGTAGCCTCTGTCCCCTCCATGGACCTGACCTGCCATCCCCTTCCTGAGCTCCTCTGCCTCTGGCTGCCTCCCTGAGCCCCCCTCACCAAGCCTCCTGCCTCCATAGAGTTCTGGTCCCCTCCCTGGGTTTCCAGCTGGGCCTCCCCCATGGGAAGCTCTTGGGGGCAACGAGAGCTGCTGTCTTGGTGGTACCAGTGCACTCTGCCCTCTGGGTACACGGGATGTTTGATATGAGAGGGCCACACAAGCCACCTCCTCTGTGTGGCCCACACTTGTCCCCCCACGCACCAGCAGCCCCCCGGGTCTGCCAGAAATAGCCTCCTAGCCCCAGTCCCTGCTGGTCTTGCCCAGACCCCAGGTGGGGGTGGCTGGGCTCCTACCTGTGGCCGGGCGCTGTGTGCCCAGACAGGGCCGCTGCCCTCCCAGGCTGGCCTGCTCCCAGGGCACTGCCATGCACACTTCTGCCCCCGGGCAGCCCCCACCCCCGCCCAGGGCTGGAGCAGGGGTGGGGGTGGTTCCTCATTCCCTAGTCCCCGCCCCATAGGCCTCCACCTCTTGATTGACAGGCCCAGGATCCCGTGGGGAAGGAATTAGGAGGTCACTAAGACGAAGCCTTTATCCCAGGGACCCTCTTGCTGTCCCCGGGGGCTTCAGTGAGATGGGCTGAGCCTGGATATTCTACTTGGCCTGCACATAGCTCCGGGGACCCCTAAATGTGTGGCTATCAGCAATAACCTGCAAGACCTACGGCTGAGTGAGGAAGGCCACTTGGAAAGTCAGTTGTGAAAACAGAGACAATTTCCACATGTGCTTCCACCGACAGGAGCATCTCTGGGAGGACACTGAAGAATCAGTAACTTGGTGGCCCTGGGGTCAGGAGAGGGAGACAGGGACACTCACGACTTATAAAAATTGCTTTAGGCCAGGCATGGTGGCTCACACCCGTAATCCCAGCACTTTGGGAGGCTGAGATGGGAGGATCACTTGAGGTCAGGAGTTCAAGACCAGCCTGGCTAACATGGCAAAACCCCCTCTCTACTAAAAATACAAAAATTAGCTGGGCATGGTGGCATGAGCCTGTAATCCCAGCTACTCGGGAGGCTGAGGCACAAGAATTGCTTGAACCTGGGAGGCAGAGGTTGCAGTGAGCCAAGATGGAGCCATTACACTCCAGCCTGGGTGACAGAGTAAGACTCTGTCTCAAGGAAAAAAAAAAAAAAGCTTTACAAGATATGATGCCTGGGATTTTCTTTAAAATAACACACTGGGCATGGTGGCACACACCTGTAATCCCAGCACTTTGGGAGGCTGAGGTGGGAGGATCTCTTGAGCCCAGGAGTTCTAGACCAGCCTGGACAATACAGGGAGGCCCTGTCTCTTCAAAAAATAAAATAAAAAAAAAATTAGCCAGGCATAGGGGTGCTTGCCTGTGGTCTCAGCTACTCGGGAGGCTGTGGTGGGAGGATCACTTGAGCCTGGGAGGTTGAGGCTGCAGTGAGCTGTGATTGTGCCACTGCACTCCAGCCTGGGCAACAGAGTGAGACTCCTCAAAAAAAGAAAAGAGAAAAATAAAAGAAGATGACTGGCTAAGAGTTGATAAGTCGATGACGTCAGTGATGGTGACTTGGGAGTTTTTTTGCTGAACTACTTTCTCTACTAGTGTGTGCATGGTTGAAATGTCCTCTAGTAAATAGTTTTATTTTTTATTGTTTTTTTGAGATGGAGTCTTGCTCTGTTGCCCAGACTGGAATGGCATGATCTTGGCTCACTGCAAGCTCCGCCTCCCAGGTTCATGCCATTCTTCTGCCTTAGCCTCCCTGGTAGCTGGGACTACAGGCGCCCACCACCACACCTGGCTAATTTTTTTTTGTATTTTAGTAGAGACGGGGTTTCACCATGTTAGCCAGGATGGTCTTGATCTCCTGACATCGTGATCTGCCTGCCTCGGCCTCCCAAAGTGCTGGGATTATAGGCGTGAGCCACCACACCCAGTCTTTTTTATTTTTATTTTTTTTTTGAGACAGTCTTGCTCTGTTGCCCAGGCTGGAGTGCTGTGGCACAATCTTAGCTCACCGCAACCTCCGCCTCCCAGGTTCAAGCGATTCTCCTGCCTCAGCCTCCTGAGTAGCTGGGATCATAGGCACCTGCCACCACGCCCAGCTAATTTTGGTATTTTTAGTAGAGACGGGGTTTCACCATGTTGGTCAGGTTGGTCTCAAACTCCTGGCATGGGTGATCCGCCCGACTCGGCCTCCCAAAAGTGCTGGGATTACTGGTGTGAGCCACCACACCCGGCCTAGCAAACAGTTTTAAAATGCATTGTGTGAAAAATAAATAGACCCAAATAACTCAAAGTTCTCTCCCCTGAGAGGGTCCCGGCATTCACTGCTTTCTTGGGAGCCTCTGGTACCCTGGCCAGGTACTGTCTTGGGCCCTGCCCTCACTGGAGGCCACACCAGCTGTACAAAAGGAGACCAGGAAGACCCCTCAGAAACCACCCAGACCTTCCAGGCACAGTGGCTCATGCCTGTAATCCCAGCACTTTGGGAGGCCAAGGCAAGAGGATGGCTTGAGCTCCGGAGTTTGGGACCAGCCTGGGCAACACGGTGAAACCCCATCTCTACCAAAAATACAAAAAAATAAAAAAAATAAAAAAAAAAAAAATTAGCCGGGTGTGCTGGTGCACACCTGTAGTCCCAGCTACTCGGGAGGCTGAGGTGGAAGGATCACTTGAGTCTGGGAGGCAAGAGGTTAGCATCACTGCACTCTAACCTGGGTGACAGAGTCAGACACCATCTCAAAAGAAAAAAAAAAAAAAGAAACCACCCAGACTATCTGCTCCCCCAGAGGGGCCTGGGATAGGCTCATCGGCCTTTCTCACAGTGACCCTGCCCGTCCACCCCACTTAGGGAGGGGCTCGCCCCACCTGAGATGTCCATGAAGTCATCCAGGCTTGGCTGCAGTGGCGTCAGGTCCGGCTGGATCATGTCAGCATTGCCGACGTAGGCTAGAGGCAGCAGTGGTGACATCAGCAGTAGCAGGCAGGGAGGAGTGGGGGTCTCCACCCCCATCCCCAGCCATCCCTCCCTTGGCCTCCTGGAATCTCACAGGCCTTCACCCCTCTCCCCTGCCCCTTCTCAGACCCTCACCATCCTCAGGCGGCAGCTGCAGGGGCGAAGGGCCAGACTGAGTCATGGTGAAGAGAGTGTCCGAGATGTCGGACAAAAAGCAATTGAGGTCCAGGAGCTGCCGCCCACCCGGCTCCTCCTCTGGGTCCCCCAGCAGCACGGGGACCACACTGGAGAAGAGCTGTTTGCACCATTGCTCCGGCGGCGGCCACCCGCCTTCCGCCTAGGGAGACAGAGCCGTCAGCAGCCGCTGAAGAGCTCCCACTGCCCCAACCTTCCATATCACCCCTCTCTAGAGTCAAGTGGTCAGTAGGACAGAGGGTCTGTCTGTGCACACCTCTGTCACCTTTCCCTAGTGGTCGTAGCTTGCTGCTTGAAAGGCTAGGATCACTCCATTGGCCTCTAAGAACTTCCCCCAGGAGACAGATCAGGATGCAGATACAGGGGTCCCCTTCCTGCCCTTTAGATTTTTTCCTGTCTGGGACCCCAGTTCTTTGGTCCCTCTGTTTTGTTTTTGTTTTTGTTTTTTTGTTTTTTTGAGACGGAGTCTCACTCTGTTGCCCAGGCTGGACTGCAGTGGCGTGATCTCAGCTCACTGCAACTTCTGCCTCCCAGGTTCAAGTGATTCTCCTGTCTCAGCCTCCCGAGTAGCTGAGATTGCAGGCGTGCGCCACCATGCCCAGCTAGTTTTTGTATTTTTAGTAGAGATGGGGTTTCACCATGTTGGCCAGGCTGGTCTCGAACTCCTGACCTCAGGTGATCCACCCGCCTCGGCCTCCCAAAGTGCTGGGATGACAGACATGAGCCACCACGCCCGGCCTGGTCCGTCTGTTCTCCCATACCTCCCACCACTTGCTCAATGACCTGGGGTCTTCTCACCACCGCACCCCCATCCCCCAAGAAGAAAAGAGCTCAACAAATGAACCACAGGACGGCAGTCACGTCCCACATCCCACCCTCACACCCAGCCACTGTCCTGCCCACGCAGGCGGAAGCTTTCAACTCTCTGCCTCCTACTTGCGGGGGCGAAGAGATGCGCTTCCCTGCTGGACTTACAGAGCACCCACCTGCTTAGGGGCCAGGAGGTCCTCTTCCCTGCTGGACTTACGGAGCTGCAGGGACACACGGAGTTGGACACCGGATCCCTTGCCCACCCTCCATCACTTCCCCCCAAAAGTCTCCCCAACTCACAAGCAGTGAGATCCCCCATTTCCCATTAGGAGCTCCTCCGACCCCCAGGTAAGGAGGCTGTTAGGAGGCCCTGTGGCCACACGGTGGCGCTGTCGGCTCGGGACTGAATGGAGGGCCCGAGGGGCGCAAGCTGCGGGGTCAGGATCCCCTTTCCGGGGATCTTCCGAGGCGGGCGGTAGCCGGCAGCCGCAGGGGAAAGCTCTGGGGCCTCCCTGGGCCCCGCCACTGACCCGCTTCTTGTAGTAGATGCGCCACTTGTGATATTCTCGCATCACCACCTCGATGCGCCGCTTCCAGTAGTTCCCCTCCAGGACCACGGCCTGGGGAGGGGGTCGGGGGAGGGGGATCAGTAGGGAGGGGAGCACCGCACACCCATCTCCCACCCCTCACCCCATCCCTGTCTGCCCAGCGCCAGGCTACAGGAGGCAGGTGCTGGTCTTGTGGGTGGGCGGGTGAGCAGGTGGGCAGGCGGTCCAGAACCCAGCTACCTCCGGCTTCCGGTGCGCATCAGCCTCAGGCCCCTGCAGGGGGGTCACGAAGCCACACACGGGGCTCTTCCTCCGCTCCACATCTGAGAGAAGGGGGCCAGGTTAGGGGCACCCAGCTTCCTCATCCCCCACCTCATCCCAGGGGACTGGGACCCAAGTGACACCCTACGAAATCCTGCTTGGCCTTTGACGTTCAGATTAAGTGCCCATGCTGCCTCCTCCAGGAAGTCTTCTCGGAGGATGCGTTAACCTCCTAGATCTTTTTTCTTTTTTTTGAGATGGAGTTTCACTCTTGTTGCCCACGCTGGAGTGCAATGGTGTGATCTCGGCTCACTACAACCTCCGCCTCCCGGGTTCAAGCAATTCTCCTGCCTCAGCCTCCTGAGTAGCTGGGATTACAGGCACCCACCACCAGGCCCAGCTAATTTTTGTATTTTTAGTAGAGAGGGGATT